TAAACGTTAATAACTTTTTAACAAAACCTCCATCAACAAATTGATATTCTAGATTTTCGTCTTGTTTTGGCCTCTAGAATCTCCCATTACAATTTTTCCTAGACTTTATTTTACATTAGTCGTTTCAGTTTTTTTGTATTGTTTTTATAGGATTTCCAACATGACCCATATATGGGTGACATGGCAGTCAATGTGTTAAATCCAGTAACAATTTTTAAAAATTACAAAAATACTCTCACAGAGACTCATCGATAGATTTTATTTTTCTATATGGAATTTAGGCGTCGTTGATCCTGGTACTGAATTATAATGTATGGGGCAACGGTCGTAAAACGTTTTTCCGTGTACCGTACATTTTAATCGGGACACTTGTCTGGCTGTAACTGCCAGGGTGGTAGAAATACACACCGTGACAGAGCAACCCGACCAAAAATAATGGTCGACTAACTTTGTAACCTAGACTGGCCTCGAGAGTAGACCGACTCCATCTCCGCTTTTCTTAGAACCGGTACTTTTGTCTGCCGCGCGCTCGATCGGTGTAGTTTTCCCTCACGCGTGCACGTGACTATTACCGTTTCGAGTGTAACGTTTGTCGATGGACAGTTAACCCTAAACAGACGAGAAGAGGGGACTCGCAGAGTTCGTCGGTCAGAATAATTTTCAAGTATTTCCCCTGTACCGGTAAATGCCGGAAGACGGAGAAAGAATGTAGGTGCAAGAGTCGATGGAACGAAATAAAAGGCGAAGCATTGACTTTCCAACGAGGGAAGCGGTACAAGCGTGCAACAGAAGAATAAAATGTAATTTGTCGAACGCAAAGCTGTCCTATGGTAACAACAAAACACGCCCATTACGTAAGAGGCATTCGAAGCAGAGCAACAGTAGATACATCAAGCTCTGATTAGATTAGAATAAATGATTAAAATAAGGTTCTTCCTATGTTACACAATATAAAAACCAGTATTATTTTTTAACGTGCAAACTTCAACTCGGTCTCGGTTAACTGGCTGCTAACGGATAGAAATGAAAATTTCATTCGTAGACCGCGGCTTCGCTCGCCTGAACGTCGGTTAAAAAATTCCTGTTTAATGGATTCTAATTTCCAAACGGAATTGAAACGGAAGCTAGTTTACGAGCGTATTAAAAATGTGAAATTTACCTCGCTCGTCGATTACAGGAAATTAGTCGTGTTTAATTAGGTCCAGAACGGTTTACGTCATTGTACGGGCGGATGAGTAAACAAGCTAGTTAAATCTCGAATCGATAGACGAATTTGCAGCTACGAGGGGGAAAAATAAATCCACTTGTTACACGCGTGTACGCGGTTCCGCGATTACGTAAGTACGGTAAGGATTACGGAACCGTATCGAAACGTTACGAAAGTTCGTACAATGGACGATGCGTACAGTGATCATCGGGAATCGGACCACGAAACTTTTGGCGTAAATTTTCGTTTACATCGTCGCGTTTAATTTTAAACGACTTCTCGCTCGAACGCCGGGGGTGGAGGGCGTCTTATTCACGCCTTTGTCCGTTCCTTTCATACTTCCGTGCACTTCAAAGAAATGTATTTTTACATCCGTTCCGTTAACACTGCCGGTACACGCGTACCGAATAGAGTCAGTGGACAAGGCTCGACTGTGTCGTCTGTGACGCGCGCGTACGTCGTCCTGACGCAAATGTGTCTCGTATCGTGGCTCGAAAAGAAACCGGAACTGTGACGCGAACCGGGCGCGTTCGAACGATAATCATCGTAATCGAAGTCCGAAATATATTTGTTTCATTCATGTGGCCAAATATTAACGCTAGAACTGCAGACGATCGACGTACGCATTCACCAGCGAGGGGGATAATTTGTTTTTCCAACAAAATGGTACAAAATTGACTTTTTTTTTTTATAAGCATTTGCTTGAAATTATAATTTTATGTATTCGTTACGTTCGAGCGTTCTGAATACCGAAACCGAACAAAGTGTTCAGCCGCGGAATATGAAATGCTAATGTATTCTGCATTCACTGACCAAGCACAATTACAAGACACCTGCGAGCATGCTGCATTCAAAAACTATCGGGACTTTCTCGTTTCGAAGAATGCGACGAAAGATTCCTGAGAAATTCTTTCGCGAGTAAATTACAAACGCCGATCCCAAGCGCAGGTCAACGACTTTTACTACGTCGAGTCTTTCGAAGCAGAGTTGGAACGTACAACGCAGCGCAAAAAGGCTTTGGCGATCAATGTTTATCGCTCACGAAAGCTCGAGAGCAAGATCTTAAGCGAGAAGTCGTTGAAAACCATCGACTTCGACGATGAACATCGTTTTTTCGTTCGTTAATTAGCTGTTAAAGAGATCGCTGAACAGGTCTGAGTATCCGTTGGCTCTCGTGGTTCGATTTTAAACGTTATTTCGCGAGCTAGACTCGTTTAAAAACGGATCTTTTTACGAAGTCAACGTGCACTTAAAGTTACCGCAGAGATGTTATCCGAGCAAATAACGATGACACATCCGCGAAACGCATCGTAACCGACGACGAGACACGGATCTGCGCGTACGAGAGAGAAACAGCTCATCGATCAAGAAAATGAGGCTTCGGAGGTGAGGCAAGACTAAAAGGAACACGACAAAGCCGATCAGAATTCAAAGTCATGCTTCGCCGTAATGCCTCGATTATCGTTGCATTGGGCATATCAAGAGTTTGTTCCAACTGTGTAAACAGTTAACAACGAATGTTATTCCAGTGTGTTACAAAATTTACGCGAATCGAGTCGTAGAAAACGATAAGAGTTACGAGAAATCGTAGATTCTGCGTCACGATGACCCTCGTTCGCGCTTCGATAATTGCAATTTTCCGACCCGACGACCTATGCGACTCTTTCTTGTTCCTGAAACTAAAAGAAGAAAGAAAAAACATTTCCACGAAATTAGTAGAACGTCTACTTTTAATAATTGCACTTTTGAGTCGAGTTTTTGAGCCCCCGGGGCAGGCCTGATCCACTATAACAATCGATCCTTCTCGTCGTGTCGCTATCTTTCTCCGGCGTCGAGTCTCACGGGAAATATGTATCTGGTTCGGAAAAGTTTACAGGTCAGTTATTTTTACGAGATCGTTGCAAGAACATAATTTTATGGAGTACGTATCTTCCATCTATCTCGCGATCGGCCGCTCTCACTGTACGCGTTCTGCACGGAACTTCCTTTAGAAACGGATCGCGTTCGTATCTCCTGTGTTGGTTTTATATTAAGATGCGTGTACTAACAAACGATGTATTCGCGTAATGGCGCTAGATAAAGACGACGACAATTTTTTGTTTAATCTAATCGTTTGTTATCTTCCGTCGTTTCGTTTGTTACTTCTGTTCCGAGGCACTTGAATATTCAGGGTCGTACGGTTCGCGTTTTCTTTACTTTACCACTTTGCAACAAACTGATAAATAGCGGCGACTATAGATCCGCATAGTTTAGTCTTAAAAATTATAGGAGTAGCGCGAATAAGATCTATGTAAATGTTTACGGCAATCCACGCGCTGTTTATTAGTCTTGCGAACGGATCAGAATGTATAAACTCTCCAAGTTTATAGTTCGAGTTCCGCGAAGAGAGCCTCTTATATTCCTGCGGTTACTCTGTTCCTTCGCTGTTAATTCGCCCTGTGTAGTTAACGATTTGCATGGATGACCCATTGTTGTACAAAATTATACAGTTTTGCGAATTATAATCAAACGTCTGCGAGTCGAGACGTTAAACGGAGGTGATTTATTTAAAACCGACGATTAGTCACGGTTTATTTTGCGTTATTTCTCGAATTATTAACAACACCGTTCGCGGAACGTGGCTCCGCGACGCGGATCGGAAGGAAATTTCGCCTGCTGGTTAGAGAACAGTCGATTTCTAATCTCAAATTGCAATCAGTACGTGACCACGTACCATCGACTCGTTCCAATCTACCGAAACCTTTTACCGATCCTGCGTCCGTCGATCGATGGATCCGTTTAATTATTAGCTCGTTCGTGCTAAAAATAATCGCGACCCTCTTTCAGCGTGCCGCACCGGAAAAGCTCTTCGAACGGGATCGATCGTACCCAAACGCCGCATTCGGTCTCCCGGAAGAAAGACCCGCAGTCCCAGCACCGGAAACGATACCAGTTTACCCTTATACGCGAACGCAGCGCCGCTCGTCAACAAGCGGCGGAAAAGTGAGAGTAACGCGACTACCTTGAGCCTGATTCCGCCGTCCGGTGGGCGTAGAAATTTATTTTCTATATATGGCGGACAATCGGTTCGTTATTGCTCGCACACCCGGTGTTCGCGCTCGCCCGCAGCACGTGTACGTTATTATTGCTATCACGGTTGCGAATTATTGCACCCGTAGTCGCCATCATCTCGCGATTCATCCAATAGACCCCGCGGGGTACAGGTCGCGCAAAAATGGCGGGAACGAGCATACCAAAAATTAAAATCATCGCTAATAAGGAGACAAAGAAGGACGAGGGATATTTTTCTAGAGGTCCCAAGGTCTACAACATGGTTTTTTTTTTTTAAGGGGGTGGGTGGTAAAAATTCAGTGATCTAGAAGGGTGTACCTTTTCGATATCGTCCACCTTTAAAGAGTTTTAATTAAAATTGGTACGCGCACAAAGGTATTCGATGTCGACTATAAAAATAGTGCCTGGAAAAGTAAAATTACTTGCCCTTACGGTCGCATAAAATTTAGCAACTAGCTTTACGGTGCTCGAAATAACTTTCCCCCCGAGGCCTTTAATCGGTCGTCGGCTGTGAATTTCACAGCCGGTTCGACGCGTGAAATGGCTCGAATTTCGCAACGTCAGTTTGCAATGGCAGTCCTTGCACTTTCCCGGACCGATGCGGCGCGTAGAGTCGGCCGTGTCAAGGCTATCGAAAAGATCCTTCCGCGAAACGGGGTCCCCCTCTTGGCTTTCCAATACGACGTGGGTTTCACCGTCGCGCGGAATCCGCCACTGATGCCCGGCTGTTTCCTCGTTTCAGGGACCCGAGATGCATCGGAGGGTGGGATACAGCAACTACGATGGCAAGATCGCCGGCCTCTACGACCTGGAGGAGACACTCGGCCGGGGTCACTTCGCCGTCGTGAAGCTGGCACGGCATGTTTTCACCGGCGAGAAGGTCGCTGTGAAGGTCATCGACAAGAGCAAACTCGACGAGGTCTCGAGAGCGCACCTCTTCCAGGAGGTGAGGGAGCACAGAGAAAAGCCTAGACGCGTTCTTTCGTTCGCCAGCGAGAGTCGGTTACACGCGACAGACGAGCTGACGGTGGCTCTTCGACGTATCCTCTCTTTTGTTCGTGTCCCCCCTCCGCGAATAAGAATGTTGAGGATAAAGGAGGTCGAGAAGGAAATCGAAACGTATGCTAATTCCTTCCTTCCGTTTGCTCGGGCAGTACCTCGACGTCAGTTTTACTCGCAAGTTTATTTACACGCACTTGGGTACAGCTGTTCGGAATATTAGAAAATTCAAAATTCATATTTTCTCGTTTCTACGTATTCTATGGGCAAAGGAAACAAAAAGTTCCGAAGGAACCGTACGTCAAGAACGAACCGTTCTCTCATAAAACGTGATTAAAGTTCGGCCAATTGGATCGCGCGGAGTTGGTCCTGGGACTTACGCGTTCCCCCATTTTGTCTCACGGGCTCTGTATAGTACGACGCGCTACCTCCGCTGCAACGCTTTACCCTTGGAAACCGCTCCATGGAAGCTGATTAATAAAAGCTTCGAAGAAACGAGTCTAGTTTCCAGCCGAGTAAATTTTTTACAATTTTTATTAGAAATTACGAATGGTACATTTTGACCACTTAAGTCGAATCCATAGAGAGGGAACTTTAATCTAAACTCTAGGTGGTACATACTTGCAATCCTCTATCGAATCGAATTTTTTATCTTCGTTAAAAAGATTTCGGTCACTGTTGCTGTACCGTGATCGATGTAATTTTGAAAGAGCCAACCACTTTAACCACTCGCTCCGGCAGCTTGAACGGCTTCCTACGTGCGTGATTTTCATCATTCCGCGACACACGGCGTTAAAACCTAATGACCGGATTGCGTAAGATCCGTTGCGACGCCATCGCGTAGGAAAGATCTACGAACGATCCGCTTCGAACTTGTAGATCTCGTTAAGGTCAACGAGATAATGGCGCGAGGGGTGTAGAAGAGGGAGAGAGGGGGGGGGGTGAGAGGGAAAGAGAGGAAAGGGTCGTTGACCAGTTCGCGCGGGCGACGCCGAACGTTGCTTGTACCTCGCGTCTTTGTTTCTCCTTCCAGGTGAGATGCATGAAGCTGGTGCAACATCCGAACGTGGTCAGGCTTTACGAGGTGATAGACACCCAGACGAAGCTCTACCTGATCCTGGAGCTCGGCGATGGTGGTGATCTCTACGATTACATTATGCGACACGACAGCGGCCTCAGCGAGGAGGTACAATCCCATTGCAATAACTCCCCGACCTGAGCAAAGTACAGACGACGTGAAATCGTCTTTTTTATCTCTAGCAAATTCGTTATCTGGAATTATTCGGCGCCCCGAGATCCCTTGATCGCGTTCACAGATTATATTGTCTATACAAGACTTTCCGTGTATCGTAATTTACGAAATCGAGGCACGATGATCTGTGTTGTATTGACCCCTTCCTGTACTTTAACGAGTCCGACTCGCGATGAAGATTTTAGTCCAAAGGTAAACACCACGAGCCAGTCAGTACGCCACAAGAGTTGCTCACGATTCTTATAGTCTCTGTTACAAAGCAATTTAGCATCAGCCTGGTCTGTTTACCGCGCGTTGACGCCTACCGTTTGCGCCCGGATTTCAACGAGCTAAATGGCACGGGAAGGGGTTAATGCGAGACGATACATCATACGCAGTGACGCAATGATAGAGCGTTTTTGATCGATAAGAACATTTGTACGCATTGCGCTATTTTATAACGTAAGAAAAACCGGGCAGCTCCATCAATTCGTTCGGTTGTCCCGAACTCTTACCCCTTTGTCCGAGATTGATGAAACCTATAAGCAAACCCATTCGCCAGGGAGGGTCACTGATACGCTTTTAATCAACCGCAGGTGGCCAGAACGTACTTCCGGCAAATAGTCAGGGCCATATCGTATTGCCATCGATTACACGTGGTGCACAGGGACCTGAAACCCGAGAACGTGGTGTTCTTCGAGAAAGTCGGCACCGTTAAGCTCACCGACTTCGGGTTCAGCAATAGGTTCTGTCCCGGCCAAAAGCTCGAAACTTCCTGCGGATCTCTGGCGTACTCGGCGCCGGAAATTCTGCTCGGCGATAGCTACGACGCTCCTGCTGTCGGTGAGTATTTCGAACGTCGGACCAGCAAGATCCGTTTTAGCCTAACCGCGCAGTGAAAACATCTAAAAGATAAACAGTGAAGTTTGCACGATGTTAACTCCACGCGCCATAGTTTAGACGCCTGATAAAAGGGTCTGCGTCTGGGTTTTCAGATGTTTGGTCCCTGGGTGTAATTTTGTACATGTTGGTATGCGGCCAAGCGCCCTTCCAAGAGGCAAACGATAGCGAGACCCTAACGATGATCATGGACTGCAAGTACTCGATACCGCCTCACGTTTCGGACGGCTGCAAACGTCTGATCGCGAAGATGCTCGTCAGGGAACCAGATCGCAGAGCGACGCTCGAGGAAATAGCGGCTGACTCTTGGCTGGCGATCGGAACAGACTCCGATCCCGTGGAAGCGTTGCCCCTCGTGTCCAGGCAACAAGTCTCCGACGATCACCATAATCATATAATCACTAAAATGGTTAATGGTAACATCGCCACCAAAGAAGAAATACTGGAGTAAGTAGATCCGACGAAGATGAACGAGATTCTTACAGGTTTCGTAAGTTAGAACCGCACGAAGCGTAGCGTCCTTGGATACTTGTGGAACTTTGAGATCCTAGAGACTCCTTTACAGAATCAAGGGTCAGAAATAGTTTTTTTTTTCGTCTTCTGGGTTGGACTTAGATACAGAGCACATGGGCGATTAGTGATATGTTGTAGCTATCGGAAACTTTGTTCCTTAAGAATCACAGAGTGGACGGGGCAGGAATGTCTTTTGATAGAAGGATAGTGTGAAGGGAGAGCGCATATCCAGAATCTGACGAGGTCTCTGAGATTATCGTGACGTTCTTGTAGCCAGTAGTGTTGAATGCTTGATAGTTTCGTCAGTGTTACTAGCCTCGAATCTCTGATAAAGTTTAGTTTGTTTTTTAAGCGTGAACGTTAGAGAACCGCCACTGAGGGGACGCTTCTTGCGTCTCGTTACTGTTCCGATTACTATGCCCCGCATTACTCGGTGATCGTTGATTTGTAATGTGTTCGTTCAATTTGCTCGTAGCGCCCTCGACAGAAATGACTACAATCACATAACGGCAACGTATTTCTTGCTAGCCGAAAGGAAATTGCGGGCTCATCGTCAAGAGCAGATGCAGACGACTCGTCCCGAGATCCTTGCTGTCACAGCAAGGTTCGTTACGACCTCGATAACTTTTACAGAGTCGGTAAACGGACGTACGCATGACCTTTTGTTAATTTTAGCCGGCCAGACGACCCCACAGCGAAGCTGCGTGCCGACCAAAACTTATTGAGCGCAGTCAACCAGTCGTTGTTGAGCGTCCCGCGAACGCCGGGTGAGGTGCCACAAGTAGGTATCCACTATTTTGCGAAAAATACTCTGCCAGTGGGGTAAAAATCATTGCTCTGTTCGCAGAACATCCGGACGCGGAAATGCAGCATCGTCCAGGAGGAAGAGGACGAGGACGACGTGTCATCGTGTTCGGGTCGAGACGAGCACGGCAGCAATTCCGCGTTGAACTCGTTGAATCGACGCGGTTCTAGGTCCGAGGGTAAGCTCTCGCACATCCTGCAAGACAGGTTGGCGCAACTGCCGGAGAAACCGATTCTGAAGCCCCTGCAACCCCAACGGAGCACGCAGAAGGACAGCAATATCGTGCCTGTAATCACCGACGTGGAGGAAAGACTGAAGTCTAGTCCGAACAGTGGAAACGTTAATGATTCCTCGGCGTTCGTTCTTCAGAATGCACCGAGCAGGCCGCAGACGGGCAATCTGCTCGCGGAGAAGGTGCCTGCAGCGACCAAGTTCGATTTCACGTGCCAGGAGAACCTGAAGAATCGTCTGGGGGATACGTCGCAGGGTGGTGGTTGGGCCAGGAAGCAGACCTCCACGGAGAACAGGCCAAAGTCGGTAACGGAGTGCTTGAAGGCGGTGGGTCCTGTGCCGGCCAACAAGTGGAGAATGGGAACGCAGCATCGATCCGTCGCCGCGTCTTTAGACTCTGCTTTAACGTCGACCGCGTTAAAACCCTCTGACGTTAGCGCGCCGACGACCACCATCTTGACCGAGTCGTCCACGGTGTCGATTCCGCTTCATCCGGTGGGCGCGTTGGGCGACAATCAGTTGTCGTTGACGCCCAAGTACAAAACCATGCCGTCGCCCGGGAGTACCGGCTCGGCGTCGTCGCCTCAGTTAACGTTGAACGAGATCCTGGAGGACGGGGACGCGATGCCGGTGCCCACCGCAGAGTCCGGGAACTCCAAGTGTCGCGTGGTCAGGCGGATAGCGTACGAGCAGCGGAGAAGCAAGTTCCACAAGACGCGCACTACCTCTTGCTCGAGCTCTGACGCCAGTGACGACGACAGCGAGAGCAGAAAGAAGAGGGCGCACAAGCTGGGCGCCTCCACGGGGAAACCGTTGCCCTCCAGGCGCGACAGCCACGACGACTCCAGCGATTCTCAGGATCCAGGAGGTAGCGGCGGGGGCGGAGGTGGCGTGGGCAACGGGGAACACACGACGGAGACCCCGTCGAACGAGACGATTCAAAACGACAGCGGAAACAGCACCAGTACGACAACCACGACCACCACGACGACGGGCGGGAGGCACCGATGCGCCGAAAATCAGGTTATATTCGGCAGGAGGCATCGCGCTGGCCGAAGAAGAGCGGGCGAGACGCGACTACGGGAGAGCCAGTCGTTGAATCGCATCACCGAGGTCCAGGAGGCCGAGGGACCCTCGTCGTTGCACAACCACTGCCACGTGTCGCGGAACTCGGCGGTCCTCGGGGTGCAGAGCATGTCCTCGTCGTCCTCGTCGGTGTCGCAGAGCAGCACCGGCTCGCACGGCGTGGCCCCGCCGTCGTCTCAAGCGACCACCACGGTCCAGAAGGCGAAAGGTTTCGGCGCGAGGTTCCTGCAGAGCTGGTCGCTCAGCTCCGGCAAGTCCTCGTCCGTGTCGCAGTCCGCGAACAGGCAGAACAACTGCAACCCCAACGGGAAATGCAACAAGCAGGATAAGCAGCGGGACGCGTGTCAGAGAATCGAGATCTGCCGCGACGACCAACGCAAAGATCTGAACGGTAGCTCGGTCAACCAGACACCGTCCAACGACAAGGAGAACAGAAACGGTTCGATGAACCGAAACGACTGCAAGAACAGGAAGTTACGGCTGCTGAGCCGTTACTTCGCCGTGCACAAAAAGCTATGCGTCCCGTTGCCGGGCCTGTTCGGCAAAGGGCGTCTTTACAAGGCTCGATCCTGCAGCAGCATCACCCGCGATCGCGTCAGCCCGCCGTCCCCCAAGTCGATGCTCTTCTGCACGGCCGCTGACGACAAATGGCGGGATCGTGGTCAATGGTGCGACGCGAAGCAACATCGCGGCAGCGACGGCGACATCAATCAGAACCTGGGTCTGTCGCACCTGGTGCAGGAGACCGTCGTAGGTAAGGGCTGCACCGCGTTGCCCACCGTCTGCCACATTCACCTGGGCGATGCCTCCACGTGTTGCAACCTCTGTTGATGAACCGAGCTGACCGATATGCAAACGATGAAAGATATATATACACGTATATATACGCACCGTGCATTGGTCGCGTTCCGACCGTCTGCCGACGAGCGTTCCTTTTCCCGCGATGGCTAACGATTACCGGCGACTCGAGGAGGACAACGGCGCAGAGAGACACGCGGTTACCACGAAGTGCAATCTATTTTCTAATAACACCGCGACGGGCAAACGTTCCCGGATCTTACGAGAATCACGATTGCGTGGTAATCGTTAACCGCGACCTCAGTGATCGCGCGACAATACGTCGATGGTCATATGTATTCAACCGATTCATGCCCCCCCCTCCCAACCCAAACCCAACCCCAAACCCACCCCCGCATCCTCCCGTGCGCCTTGAATGATGCGTGCCGACGAGCACAAGGGTCGAGTCAAGAGGGAGAGCGTATCGATCGATCGGTCGCTCTGCGGGATGTGTATCTAGTCCGTGTGAACAAACCTATATTGAATATTGCAGAGTTTATTATTATTATTAATATTATTATTATTGTCATTATTTTAAACGTACGACGCGTAGACATCGATCGCGGAGTCGCAACGCAACCGAGTCATCCGGCGTTCGCGGAGTCGCAACGCAACCGAGTCATCCGGCGTTCGCGGACATTGAAGTATCTCGCAACCTTGGACGGTCTTCCTCTCGTTGTCCCCCCTTATTTATCTATTTGCCGTCGTCTAACTAGATTGCGATCAACGTACTATTTTCCTACGTAGCGACGCCCCCGTTGAGTGTTCGTGGCGATTCCAAACGAAACACGAGCGACATCGAATTTATATAAACGCCGATTAGTTAAGCGCACGTATATATCGTCTCGATGGGAAGAAACGGCAGTGGTGCTACACGCGAATAACCGCCACCCGTAGAGAAACGTCGACTCTTCCGGGAGAAGGTCGCGCAACTTTGAAACGTGCTTCGGAGATCACGACGATCTGGACAGTCTGCAGACCTACGTGGTCCCGGCGAACAGTGGTCTCGGAAGGAGGTCGAGGAACACCGGAAACAGTGCAGACTACCGATGGAATCTACGAGCGGGAGACAGGAAGTGGCTAGTAAACTCCTGCATTTCTTTTCTCGAGGATCACCATTGGCAGCGAGCGTCCGCGCGCTTGCCGGCTGAGCGCGCGATCCTCGAACGGGCAGCTCGTCATCGTCATCGTCGTTGCACGCGCGAATCACGCGACTCCATTGGAGAACGCGACAAGGTCGTAACCTGGACACGTTCCGCGACGTTGAGAACGCTATTATATCCATGACAAATCTCAGCCGTCGGCGTCTCGAACAGGATGCATCGTGGAGGTTCCAGAATCCCCGGGACTCGTCTGCCACGATCCCCCCTCCCCCTCTCCCCCTCCCGGGAAATTGAATGCAGGTCATTCAGAACTCTCGCTGAAAATCCAACGGATGCGCGTGCTCGCGTTTTGCAAACCCGTTTTTTCACCCTACTTTTTATATGGATATTACGTGACGGATTGGTGCAGGATTTGAAGGTCGAAACCTTGGCCGATCGCTTGTCTGTTGGTGGGCGAAGCTGTCGAGGGGACCACACGTCGTGTTGCGCGTCGATTTAGCGTGGTGAAACGAGTGGTATCGTTTAGGTTTATAGCGTAGCTGGAGGGTGTCATCTAATACTGTAAAACAAGACTATGGAGCAAGGACTAAGTGCTATTTGTGTTCCATTTGATCATTTGCTCGGATACTTTGTAGTTTAGAGGATTCGTTAGAGCCTACTTTATTTTCGTAGAGTATTTCTCGTTGCGTCGAAACGTTTCGATCGGTTGACGTTAATTTTTATTTCACGATCCAGTTTCTACCCTTTCTGTCTCGAATTAATTATTTTAAGGAAACTATTCTACGTAAAAATACTAGTGCAATAAGAGTACGAACATATAAATTTATTAAAAAGTACAAAATATTATACGATGCTACATAGCATTATTAAGGGTATTTTATGAAAAATATAAGGAGTTCAGAATTAAAAATAAAAATATAGATATTGTGTTTTTTTTTTTATTTCTAGTACGGATTGAAATTAAAAATAAAATAAGATATGTACTTCCACGTTTCTAATATACGCACGCACCGATGCAAGGCAATTAATATCGCTGCCATCTTGTTTTCAACTGTTGTGCGGTATAACAATTTGCACATTATATATTAACTACCAATGCTATGAGCAGAAACAACTTAACTTGCCAAACGTCGCTATTTATCGTATCTTCAAATGTTAATTATGCCAAATGGAATCATTGGGGTGTATATATGAAATTATGAGGCTTAAAGTAGAATGTGAAGTCATTGGGACAGAAGGAGTTGAGCAATAAAGATAATAATTCGATACTGACTTGTCAAGTATTTATGACATTAATCGAGTATTTATGCGTTTTCTTTTCAAACGATTAAAAAGAAGAGATTAGTTTAAATGCCAAACAAATGGTTGTGTAATATTATTTCTTATATATTTTCAGACAAAGTGCGTGCGTTTCTTTCATAAATTGTTTAAATTTACCACGCGTGTAAATCATGTTTTACATATCCTTCGGTTGACAGGAACTATGTACTCTGTAAACAATACTTAACTCGAGCCCCATTGACCTGTAATATATGTATAACAGGATTCTTCGAGGCTGGTTTTTTGTCTTGTACTGCAATTATTAGCCAACGTATCTTTATGTTAAACTTGCTTTATGGTACAAAAATCTGTATCATTATTTCACTCGAAGGAATATCGATAATATAAGTATTTGACGAACCAGTGGGGAATTAAAATCTATATTGTTTAGTATTTAATACACTGTTTGAGTGTCCGAGTAAATGGTCCAACGGGGATGGAATAATTTTCGGTTCTCTATCTGCAAGTCACGATTAAATCGATGCGTAATTGTGTGGTCTCGTAACTATTGTTGTTCGATTTCGACTGACGACGTACAAGAAAACGGTTAATATTGACTTTATGAAAAGCGAATACTATGGTGCGCTTTAGAATTTCTATTTTATTCGTATCTTAAAGAGTATGGTCTGACGTTTCGAAACGAAAAAGGATTTATCGTACGGAATCGGCGATCGGGCTGGCGGCAATAATTAAAAGAAAGCGCTTCGACCTTCAATTTTTGACTGTTCCCTCCACGAAGCCGATATTTCATATCCCTCGAGTAGCCCCGAGAACGTTTGTATGTACCTAACACGCCGAGTGTACAAATCAATGCGTAAATTGTATGTACCGAGCCACGCGGTTTATAGCGTAATACAACAATTTATTTATTATACATCCCAGAATGACGATCTTTTTCAATCGTCACCGCGGACGATCCTCGAATTGCCCCTAATTTCTCTTTCGTTTCCCTTCTGTTATCGTCGGGGGACGAATTGCGTTGGTTTCCGCGACAAAGACTGAGCAAATTGTACAATAAACTCCGATCGCTTGGATGCCTTGCGTCGCACGATGACGATGACTTGACGAGACCAAAAAAAAAACATTGCACACGAACGACAACTGCTACAAGCCGCGCCGTTGAGAAATAAAAAAAAATCGCCTCGTCTCGGTTGAACCGTCGATTCGAAGAGTAAAACGATGTGGATCGCGACCAAGGTGCAAACGGGCATTAACACTTCCGTTCGATAGAAATTTACGGAGAGAGAGAGTGAGAGAGAGCCACAAGCCATGACGCCGCGAATCTCGCTATTTAGCTAAAAGCTGCACGGAACCAGCGACCGTGGTTCGTTGTCGGGCATTAAAGTATCGCAAGTAGAAAGAAAGATTCCATTCAGGACTGATCTTTCCTTCTCTGACTCTATACACGGTCGCGAAGACAACACTTTCCTGTCGGCGGTTCCGAGATCACACGAGGCCCGTGTTCACCACTGTTTTCTTATACGATTAGAAGTACCATTTCGGCAGGGAAGATAATTTCGAACACTTTGAATGTACCGCCAGCAGCTGCAGACCCAAACCTCTAGCGTTTGCATCCGTTACGATCCTGCAAACCGGGACCCCCATCGTTGATCCCGGCGGGACAAACTATCTACGATAAATAAGAGATATTTTTCGTGTTGTAAATCGAATCCATTAGGGGCCGATCTCGTTCGTCCCCCCCCCCACCCGCGTGTGGACGTCGTAATTAAACGAAGATCGAGTTAAAGGATCGCAATTGCGCCTATCGTACCCTCAGAACTGCTTCGCGAAGTGAAGCGCTGTTTTACGCTAACTCATGTTCGCTAGTCCCGTTGATGTTGTCGCGACGACAACGCCCACACACGCATAGTACAATGTCCCGCGGTAATTTTTGTAAGCGAATCTTTTTTCCACCGAACCGACAAGCTGTTGTACACACATCCATCGAGCGCCCCCAAACCTGCCACCTGCCTCCCCCGATCCCCCCAATGTCTCTCGGTCTTAAAGTGAAAAGGGGAAAAAATACATTACACACATACGTATGTACGACAAGTGTCCGCTTTAGATTTCGTAAATGTCGACCCAACTTAACTGCCAGCTGAGTGTAACGAAAGATCCACCTGCGTGCACCGGCCCCGCGTGCGATCCGTTGCGTAGCGTCGGTGCGCATAAAAAAATCATTCATGCAATAACTGTGTGCCCGAATCGAATAAATGAAAAGTAACGAACAGCGAGAGATTATCTGCCGACACTGTGTCCGTCTGGTTTCTCCCGCCACTTTCCAATTTCCGTTTTACAGAAGAGTTAGGCCTTACTCAAGGCCGTTCACGCCGCTACGAATCGCGTGGGGGTGGCCTAAAACATCGTGGGGGTAAGTAGTGGGGACGAGAAGCTCGAGATCAGAACGCTTCGGAGTAGTATTCGTAAAATAACAAATACATTAACGAATCGTTGAAGATTTTAATGCGTTGATAACCAAGAACGTACAGAATGCATTTGTTTCGCAATGATTTTTATTAAAATTATAATACTATATTTCAGAGTAAAGTAACTTTGAAGTTGCAACCGTGGTCTGGTTTGTTGCTTCCGCGTTTGAAAACGGCGTTGTACTTGTTCGTTGTGGACGATTGATTATAAAAATGCGTGACGTACGCGACGGAAATGTGTCGTTTATGGGCGGTTTCGCGTGGAAAAAAATATGTACACATGACGATCGATGTAACTGCAATTACTCGGATAGTCGCGCGTTTATCGTCATGCGAATCTCGCGCTGCCCGCGTTATCGCCTCTGATCAATCCGGCGACCATCTTCCCTGGCAGGTTTTCAAACGACCCTTGGCAACGAAACCCTGTCCGTCCCCGTAACTTCGCGTCGCGAACTGTCGCGTATTCGAAACTTCGTCGCTTAAACTATCCGAGTATTTTTTTTTTTCTTCTTTCGTAATTATGATACAAACGAGATATCGCGTTGCTCGATGAACGCGCGATATCGAACACGAGCGAATGTGTAGAAACGTCTTATCTAGTTGAAATACGTCACCAAACGTTTGTAGAAAAAACAGAGAAAATATAATGTACGTGACGTATCTCGATGATCGTGGAACTTCGTAGTAAACGGAATGTTAACAATTTGTTCGCGTAGAATTATAGCCGCTCGAAAGCTGCAGGCACTACCTAATCGCCCGGGCTCCTAAACCCGTTCTTCGTCGATAACAAAAGGCCCGAGGTAACGGTTACGCGAAGGCAACGATAAAAATAACACTATTCGACTTTCCGCAATGAAAGAATTTACCGTTGCCATCTGAATACAGGCACGGAACTGCATAGGAACGGTACCATAAGTCGCAGACAATTTTATCGTACGAAAATTACATTTAGTTGCAAATTAATCCGTACGAGCGTTAACGTTTTAGAACGCATCGATTGATTTGGATTATTAATAAGGTTGACTAATACTTGAACTTCATCTTGGTACGTGTTTAATTGTCAACGCAAAGTAAATCTTGCACACAGGCTTAATAAGAGTTCTTAAGTAGATTATTAATGCATCCGTGGAGGAGCCAAATGAGGGTCGGAAACGTCCACGCTCGTAGAAATTAATTTACAATTATGTCTAAATATTTGATCGTTGCAGCCACCTTTGCTATTCGTATAAAGTTAAAGATCGACTAAGTTTAGATTATCGGCGTCTTGTCTAATCGTTCTACGGCTCTAAACAACCCGAGCTACGTAGACGCAGATGGTCGAATTCGCGAGGCAAATATTTAAAATGGCCGCCGCCGTTGGCCCGGCTAACCTAACAAAGTGGCTCGCTCCTGGGCATGCGCGAAATTCATAATTTGAAAAAGCGATATCTAACAACAGTGTATTTATAACAGTACTGCTTGACAATGTGATCGAAAACTAATGCAAAACTTGTACGTCGATCTTACGTTTAAGCAGATTTTTACTTCTGTAAGCATGTACATTTCGGAAACAAGAAATTGCATACATATTAACCCCTTCCCGTACTTCAACGAGTCTGACTCGCGATGAAGATTTTGGCCCAAACATGATTATCACGAGCCAGACTCGCGAACAAAAGGTCAGCCCAAACGTAAACATTCCGAGTGATAGAGTTTTAATTCCTATCAGTAAACCACAAGAGTCGGTCACGGTTCTTATAATCTCTGTTACAAAGCAGTTTAGCATCAGTCTAGTGTGTTTACCTCGCATTGAGCCAAATGGCACGAGAAGGGGTTAAGAGAATCGATCGTCTCTATATCGTATAATCCAAAAATATTCTTTTCTCTTTTAGATTACCCTATACATCACAGACACACGCACACGAACACAATGTATCTCTAATTCTGTCAAGCTCTTAACATTTTCCTTTGTTCCCCAGTTCTCGATTTCGTTTGTCGTCCGGTTCCTTTCTCTGTTTCCTGTTTGGGGATACGATAAGGGAAGAGGTCACAGAACGAAATTGTCCGTATCTTATGGCAACCTTCCTCCACGTGGCGCTGCACGTGTATGCGACGATGTTTTTTTTTAAAGTTCGCGGCGGAAAGAAGCGTCAGTGCCACGTAAGTAACTACGACGTTCGTTCACCAGGTCCTATCGAAGATTTCGCGCCGCAGTAATTACTTCTCCCGAGGTTTCCGAAGGTATAACCTGAAAAGTCTTCCTCGCCTATTTCGAATGCTGCAATGGCTTCCACCGAATACCGATAGATCGTCGTTACATCTGGTGATCCAGATTCTGCAGAGCCTTTTTGCTGTTCTCGACGAATTCCTGAAACAAGGTCCACCATTTTACCGCGATCCTTTCACCAGAGGGCTTAGGACCACCTAGGTAAAGACGATTTAATTACCATTAATCCACGGCTCATGAAGTACGGCCTTCCCACGCCGTCGTTCTTCGCGCAGTCTTCGCAGAAGCAAATGAATATGGTGTCTATGACCATCTGCAACGCGTAAAACGTTCGTTTTACTGATAAACGTTAACCCTGAGGTTTGCAAATTTAAACAGAACCCAAATATCTGCCCCGTTTGCAACATTTCGTATGCAATTTACGTGGTACCGAAAGACCAATATATCTTTTATTAGCAGACTGTAAATTCGAATATGTAAACACTAGTTATGACCCCTTAATTTAATTCGCGTTAGTCCACTTGCCTCGTAGATCGAGATGAAGCAATGCGCCACCAAGAAAGCGAACACTCCGGCGAGTGCAATCGGCACCCACGGATGATGGAGTCCTTCCTTTTTCTAAACACGCAGCGCAATTAGAACAGAGAATATCGCTGATGGATAAGACGCTCGTTGGCCACGTACCTGCACCAGATAGATCCCAGCGACGACCGTTAATGTAACGACCAGAACCTTTCCTAGAAATAGGACGAAGTCCCCGACGCTGTTGATGGCGGCGACTCTTAAGATATTGTTCGCCAACGCCTGGAACGCTTTCCGTCCGCCAGTGCAGAAGTTGCATCCGTATATTGCTGAAACCGACGTACACGAGTAATTAAGGCTCGTGATCGAATAATTACTTTTTAGTAACACCTGTGGAAGCGTCGGAGAAACTACTTTGTTTGCAGGTTTGAAATGAACGATTTAAAGACGATTTTTTATCGTTGGATAAAAAAATGTTGAGAGACCAATATCTCACCTGTTTCGATGTAGGCGTTTCTGGTGAGGAATTTCAGAGCGCACTCGAAACACCAGAGGCAACACTGACAGCACCACAATATTCCCCTCACAAAGTCGTTATCGTAGCGCTTCAGGCGATTTTGGACGAAGGAAATTATCGCTCTTATGAGCCGAACTATACCAATAACCAGTGCGCCGAACGCGACTGTGCCTAAGTGATATCGCACGAGATAACCGAAGCCCCGCGTTACAGCCAGGGAGAGCCTCTTCTTGTCTCTGCGCGTGGGTGGGAAGGCATTTGCTTAATCGAGATTTGTAATTTACCTGACCTTGGATTGCTTTCTGCAATTACGGAGGATTCACTCTTGGCCGGGATATTGGTGTTTTGTCTTTGAGTGCCGATCACGGGGGACCGTGTTATAGCAAAGCGTCGATTATCCGCGCGTGTAAACTGAAATTGGATTCTCATCCTGGTTAACAGTTTCGTACGGGTAATCGAACGGGTACGTTAATTGTCGATTACTGCTGCTAACTTGTCCCCAGTCTTGTCCGGGTAATCGGTGGTCTAGTGTACTAGAGACGGAACAGAATCAAATGGCTGTTCAAGGACGCCTCGATCTTACCCTCGCCCAGCGTCGTTTGAAAACGCGTCGCTTAAAATATTCAAATTGAAAAAAAGGATCTTTCGAAATATGCAGTTTTGGGGGAAAGTATCGTATTTCACGCGGATCGAACGACGGGATACTCGAGTTTGCCGCGACTTTAATCGGGAAATATTACCGTCGTCGGATATTCGAAGCACCGTCGAACGGAAACACCGAAACGCCGGGTATCTGCGAACGAAAAGTGGACATGGAAATTTCCCACGAGTACCGCAGAAAGCAATCCACCTGCAAACTATGATATTGATCAAAATGTCACCTGGTGAAGAACCAACGCGCCACGGCGCAGGCGACGACAATATGCTGACAGCCCAGGAGGAACTCGCAGGTGACGAAAAAGAAGAACAGATTGTACCATCTGGTTGCCTGAAAAATATTACGATACGCTTTACGTGCGCCAGCGCGACACTGCCGTCGAGCAATCCATTAACTTACGATCAGCAGTACGTCTTTCTTGAAGTGGATATGGTCCTTCCTATTCTTATAGATGTTCCCGGCGCTCTCTATCAAGAGCATGCAGTAAACCCACGCGCACACGGTGAAACCGATGAGCAAGTAGGTCTGAAACACGATTTCATCCTTTTCGGTGGACCGCGACGCGCCTACTCGCGGGAGAAAGAAAGATCAGCCACGGAAGGAATTACTAGAAGTCGTGCTTGGTTAGACGTTTTAGTCAACGAGGTCTGACGCATCCAACGGGATTTCAAAGGAGCTACTGCTCGCTCTGCTACGAGCTTTTAATCGTTCAGATTCTTTACTTAACCAAACAAGGACTCTTTAAAAAAAAAAGAGAAATTTTTAATACAATAATTTCGCGCTTCTTTCGACCCCCCAGGGACTGATCTTCCTTTTTCTCTGCAGTATCCACAGTTGCTTGTACCAATGTTCATACACTATAATTGTGATTCGCTATAAAACATAAAAGAATTAAGTTTCTTTTCATTTATAGCGAATCGTCATTGTAGCGGAGGAGTGGGAGTAACTGTGTGCGATTCTATCGGCGAATATTTACGTATATAGGTTGTAGAAGCAACACCGGCATGGCGTAAACGGCCTTTCCCGCCTCGCGGAACAGCTGCATCACGAGGGCGATTCTTTTCCTCATTACCAAGACAATCAGAAGCGTGATGACCTGAAAATTACACCTGGTAGCGACGCTGCTGCATCGAGGTAAAGTCTCTCTCGATAGAGCCGCGGCGAATAGGGCCACTTCCCCTGATACGGGCAAACATTACCTCCCCCCCATCCCCACCCTTCGACAGATAACGCTTAAGCCCCGATTTTCAGTTCTCCGAGAGAAAACCAAGAACCACTGTCAACGTATTCTCGAAAAGATATCCCCCCGAAGTCCACTACTTCCGCTCCCACTGACGCGTTCGTCGCCATCTTGGCCGCGTTTTCGTTAAAAAGTAATTTGCAAGAACATTTTGCAGCGAAACAAATGTTTAATGATCAAACGGGAGGACTTTGAACCCTGAATAATTGTTGATCGACCTTTCGAACACATTAACGCGAAGTGACTTCGCTGACCCCGGTAAAATAAAAAAATCCTCGGTCCTCAGGATTGGGAAATTATTAACTTTCGTACGAAGGTGAACCTCGAATTTCCGTTCGTTAAACCTCCCTCGCTAAACTTTGTACGAAATCTTTGTAACTCGAAGATTGTAGCTTCTCCCTCGAGGATTCAAGGGAACTTTGCAGTCGAACATTTGTACCGAAACAGTTGCAATTCTGTTGTCAAGATGAACAAATTGTTATCGGCAGGTTATACGCTGGGCGCTGTGGTCTGCGGCGAACCAAGAAATAGGGCCCAGCAGGAAACATATTCGTTTTGTGTTTGGCGGTCGACGCGTTAAAAGAAGAGAACTTTACGCAATATTTGTTCACAGACAAGGTATACAAGTAGACCTCACATTCGTAGAATTTCTAAATATTCTTCATTAAAATACGCGTTGATTGCATTTTGAAATATTAAAATCCTCCATTATATTTTCGGTAAGGAATTTTTTTCTCGAAAGTGCGTAGGATTTCGAGGGTATATCTATTCATCAAAAATGATCGTAACTGACCCCCGCAACCGAAAATAATTTTTCCAGAACGATTTGAAATTTTTTACTTCGCGAGTATTTAACAATTATTTGTTTTTACAGCACGATTATTAAACAGCTCGTGTTGTTACAATCGACATCAATTTTCATAATAAACACTAATTAAAATCGTGTTTACTGTTAATCAAGCTTGTGTAAGCGATTATTAATGAGTTGTGTTTAATATTAAGTGCTTGTGCAAGCATATTATTACAAATAATATTCATTTATGCAAGCACGTTATGGTTCCCTCTCTAATGTTTCTTTCGTCCTCCGATAATACCCTGTTATCACATTATTAAGAACAAAAAGTAGTAGAGGGCATGTTTAACTTATCACTGATATAGCGAGTAATGGTGCTCGTTATAACCGAGCTTGACTGTATTTAAATCACGGAAGTTTAAGATTAGGTTCTCAGCTCGCTTTATAACAATAATTATTCATAATCGTCGCCGTTCCAGCGAGCATTAAATTAATTCTCGACCTCGAACTTTCTATCTTCGGTAAACAACATTGTCGATTGATTTTTCAGCGATGCAAATCGTACTTATGCACGCGTGCAAGGGGCACAAAATGGCGGCGTGTCGCTGTGATGAAATACCAGGGCGGGGCAAAATTTTATTCGAACGATAAACTAGAGATGCAACGCATGTATTTATTTACGACGTTCATCCGATCGTCGGTAATATTTCATTCCGTAATTCAAATTCAAATCGTTTTGAAATTTATATCGTGATAAGAATTGTGCCCTGATCTAAAAAAAAAAAGAAAAAAAATGACGATAAGGTAATAGGTTTGTAGGAATTCAGATGTTTCTTACGGTAACGGTAGACAAGACTATCGCATAAATGAAGTAGGCCTCTTGGCTCGAATCATCCTCGGTTATCTCTTGCGCCTCCACCCCCTTCTTTTCCTTGTACCACGCGAGCCTGAAGGAAACATAATGTTTTCACGATCCCAAGACAACGACTCGGAGCGCAGCCTCCAAAGACGGAAGAGCACTTTAGCAACATTGTCGGTCACGCGTTCTATCGTGTCTAGATAAATCGTGCCAATGGATCTCTCGCGATGGTATCTACGTACAAAGGGATAAGCTTACCAGAGGTACGCCGAGCCACCGATACAGGCGAGAATAGCGCCGATTAAGACAATGTAAATGACCCACTGCACCATATACCGGAAGGCAATTAAGATAGCGAGCGAGATAGCTGAAAGTCATTTACGAAAAATGATAAGAATGTCGATCGTCGATAGCGGTCGTGTCGGAAACGCATACCTAACGCTATGAGCAGTAGGTAGACCAGCTCTACCCAGGCCACGGTCAAATCCCTCGAAGCCTCCTGAAATATTCAGAATTGTTATTGCTCGGTTGCGAATTACACGGGTGAAATTAACCATCGACGGAGCTGGGCAAGATCAATACGATCTACGTATCGCGTTCGCGAAATATGTAATTCACGTTGTGTCGCGATCGAAAGGTTTTACTGGAAATCTAGAACCGCAGAACTCGAGTCGTCTTTGGAACGTTCGATAGGATTTTTAAAAATACTGCAATGCTTCCTTATTCGTCTCTCAGAAAAGGAGAATTTCTTGAGATCTGAAAAAATGTTTACATATTTTATGCTGTAAAACCGCGGATACCTTTTAGAGTAGTTGATGAATTATTAAAGATATTTTTTATCAAACCGAAAATTCCAAAGTCGTACACGTTCCAAGTTTACAGTAAATAGCTCGATTCGATCCATTAGGATTGTTTTGTAACGCAAGCATCGACCATCGTTTTGAACTTAGAGTGCAAGAAAGATTTTTACAGTAACGTTTGCAGTTCGTAAATGCGTGACAAGTTAATTTAGCATTATCGAAAGTGCAGCCACACATTTAGTTGGATGAGTAGCGTAATGTGCGATGTCTACTTCTTTGATCGATAGTAAATCCCACACTACCAGTTGGGGACAATTAATAGGTAATGTTGGTCGAAATATGAACAAATTTGATTATAATATAGTTCATATTAATATTAATATTGCCTCTACGGTACCGTATCGAATATAATAGACAGGGGAATTTAGATGAATACGTATTGATACAATTACTCAACTACCTCCACTCGTTTAAACTCCATTTTTCTTTGTCCTTTTATGCGGAATGAATGACCGTCATTTGTCATGCGAACAATAGGAACGCCACTTCGTCCAAATTAAAACGCAACGCCGATAAAATCTTCGTCTCGAATAGTTTTCAAGGGCGCCGTGGCGCGTTTCCCCCACGACTGATAGTGTGAAATATTTAATTTGAAAGATTAAAAAGATAGAAGAAGCATACAGGGTGTCCCAAGTTAAGAGTCCGACGGTACCGACGCCCGAACCACCGATTTCACAAAGTAATAGCGCAGAAAAAAATATTCGTCGCTGCACCGTCATTTCGGAGCTTAATTTTTTATTCTGCGATTATCTATCATTTCGCGAAATCGGTAGTTTGAGCGTTACTTCGATCAACGCTTATTTTGAGATACCGAATATAAGGTGTCCCTTAAGGATTGCCACTCTTTGTCATCGCCAGCAACTGATCATCACACTAACTACGCTAAACACAAAACATCTAAGTCCAATACAGTCACAATACGTACTTGAATTCGACTTTTACTGAAAACGTAGCTACAGACCTTGTAGAAATTATCCAAACCAAGATTCTTGATCACGGAAGTCGTCGATTTAGTCGTATCCATTTGCAAGCAGCGATTTAGGAATATCACTCTGTGGAACAAGAACAGAACACCACGTGGAATAAATAGTTTCGAAAATTATACGCCTTAAAAAAAAAAAAATAAAATAAAATTATCTCCAACTATTTAGATCGCTGGGTCTTCTTCGGGCGTGAAAACATTTTTAAAAAACATCTGACTCAATTCCTACATCCAAAAACTGTCAAAAAATATGCATCTTGGACTTCTGGTCCATCTAAATATTATATTCCAAGGAATTATAGTCGATCAATTGGTCGTTCGAGGTCAAGTTTTCACAGAGTATCCCTCAAACGCGTTCGTGGGCGGAGCAAAGAGACCCAAAGTGGTGGGGATAACACTTCAGTGGCCTTGAGCGGCTAATTGATTTGCCTCCCATAGTTCCTGTCGTGCGAAGTTCTGTAAGCGGCTCGACACAGTCGAACAGTTATCGAACAATAACAGTCGGTTACTATCCGGTGGATCGAAGCAAGTTATCGCCAGGCAACTGTCGATTAGCTGTAATTTTCCAACCAACAACGCTGCCGCTGTGTCGTATCATCGTTTAGCGTCGTTTAACGAAAACAGTCGCGCGTCGCGCGATACTAACTGATCGGTGCAGCTGGACACGCATGTGCGATTCTTCACTCCGTTCTTCACGTCCAGGGTTATCAGCAGATACCTGGGGGAAATGAATTATTAATGAGTGCGGTGTTAATGAACCCGTGGCCGCGGAAAGTGTCGGCCGGAATTGGGAAATCCTCTGGAAAAGTGCTCGCCGTCCGAGCTCGAGAATTTATATGGAACATTAACGGCAATTACGCGCATTATTTCTCGCGCACGGCGTAAGTTTTCCACCGAGATTCGAGTTTTAATCGAGTCCGGGCCGCGTACCGGTGCAATTTGCATCCTTTCGTTTCGGTATCGTTGCCGCGACCTGCTTAACGACGTATTAATCATCGACTGCTTTCATTGTCGCGCGCTCGTTTCATTCGTTTATCGTAATAACGCAGCGTAAAGTATTTCGAATTTACGGGACTGTTATCGCTGGTAATTTCGTTATTAATGCGTTTACGCCGTTGCACTACCGTTCCGTGCGCAATGGCGGCGCATTTTTGATCCGCGAATGAAACATCGGAACCGGAAACACGTCTCGTCGACGACCTTGATCTTGAGGCGACGCAGAAAACTGGAACCATCAAAATTCGTTGCTCGATCGTATCTTCGACGACTATGGCTCTCTCGTAGACTTAGTTTCCACGAGAATGAATTAAAATAGAAGTTTGTTTAAGATTGAAAATTGAACAAATATTGGAAATAAGGTAGAATATACAGAGAGGATTTTTTAATTTAATCTGACTTACGAATATTGACGGAACGCGGCCGTGTATTAACGGCGATGGCGGGAACGCGGAGCAAAATAAAATTATCTGCCTCCCGCTGGCTGTGTTTAGACAAAACATCGCGAATAATTATATTGCGTTGATATCGAATATTTTCGGGCGAAATATCCTTTTTATCGATACGATTAATCCAGAAAGGAGGGGCAAAACTAACGCGAGGCGTAATTTTATTAACTAAAATTTACACAAATTACTAGAGGACCCTAATGAAAAAGAGTGGAAATTAGATGAAGCTACGAAGTTTCCTCGTCCATTGAGAAGTTCATACTTTCGCTTATTAAAAAAAAGAGTTACGAACTAGAGTCTGTTAAACGCATAGTTTTAATCTTGTTAGACGAGCTATATTTTCAGGAAAATTCTGGCCAATCTGCGCGGAGCCCAGCGGGGCCAAACGAATTTACTTAACGAATAGTTTTATTTAGCTGGAAAAGTCGAATCTAAGGGGGACGAAAGGGAACAGGCAAAACACTAACGCGTTTAGAGTCAATTAACCATCGAGCCTCGCGACTAATTTTCAGAGAGAATTGATTAGCGAACGGTTTGAACAAACTGGTATAATCGCGACGTCGAGAAGCCCGCGCGCGTCTGGCTCGCGTAAACCAGAGGGCACTGCAATCTAATTTCTAACGTTGACCCCGGAAAACTCCGCCGCGTAAATTATATCTCCAGCATCGACCACAAAGGATTAGAGCGCTAACAAATTTATTCAGCGAATATTTTTGCCGTGTAGCAGGATACTCGCCAAAAGTTGGACGCGAAACTTTTTACCGACACGTTTCAAACGGCGAAGGAAAAAGAGAAACTTAACCGAAAATTCGAACGTAACGCGCCCGAAAGTCGACGAAAAATATCGCGACGATATTTTATATTCTCGGGAATTTATTAGTATTTTCGTTTCGACTAATTAGCAGACAGTGCCTTTTTATTTCGATATCGGTGATTTATTCGTCTCCGTTTTGTTTATCTAGATTTGAGATTTGTTCTATGATCGTTGATAGCGGGTGTACGTTTGCTAATTTTTATCGACAAATAAAATTAATCTTTATTTACAGATTAGTGATAAATTCGGGGAATCAAGATGACACGCCTACGAACAAAAATAATTTAGGATTGTTTATCAGGTCGACAGAGCTTAATTCGGACAGATATAACTAACAATTTAAATTTAATTCGATCGACGTTCTAGGTTGCAGAAATATTAATGTTAAATACCGTATTATATCGAAAATAAAACGACAAAAAAACCTGAAGCGTCTGGCCGGGGAGATTTATATAAAATCGTCTGGATAGTCGATGTATTAACGCGGCCCATAACAACTGATTATTTATGAAAGAGAAAGCATTGATCTAAACCGGGACCGTGACCATTACGTATTCCGAACACTGGTTTGCACTCGAAGAAAGTATTCGCTGTCTGCATCGGCGCTGGGAACGTTTCTTTTATTGTATTTCTATTCGACAGCCAGACAATTAATACAGCAAAACGCGACCGGGCAATTAAATAAATTGAAAATATTCATAGAAGAAACGGGACGTTAGCGACGAACGAATTTACCTTTATCTATCGCGACGCTAGATCTCACGTTTCCCCGATAACGAGAAAATAATCATTGTAATTTATTTTACATTCGGGGCGTTTGGATTTGCCTTGACCGTCTTAATAACGTCGTTCCTCTGATTCCAACGAAAATACGTATTTTACGAAGTATAACTTCTTGCAAAAATTCCTACAATACTGACGCTTATATAATTTTAATTCCTGTTTCATTGAAACTCCAGACGTATGGATATCTATTTCTAATGTATCTATTACGTATAAAATTACGTTTTCTGTAGAAAGCTCCGTAACGAATTAAATTCGTAGAACTGGAGGACTTGCGGCGACAGTTACCGCGCTCGCCACCAGATGGCTACGCTCTTAACTCTCTCACAAGTACTCGATCGTCTGCCTATTCCTCTCCTTTTCTTTCCTGCTGCTATCGCTGCATTTTGTGAAATCGATGGATCGACCGGTGCTCGTACTGGGACTCGATGTGTCGGCGATATTAGGTAGTTGACATTCATAACCGCAAGTTTTCGAGGTACTGTCAAAGAATCCCCGGTACAAGCTTTTCGTTTCGACTTCCGTAGCATTACCAAACCTCGCGGGAGTCTCGCGTTGCTCGGACGGTGGGCAGGGGGGCTTTATTGGGACACGTTTTAGATGATTTCTGGTTTACTTCTCTTTCGTGTAGTCCTTGGCCTGGCAACCAAGCGCGGTGACAGCAGTGGTAGCCTTGTTGACACGGCCGCAAACGTTTGCGCAGTTATCGTAGCCATTTATAACGCGGTAGATGTCTCCTTTCTGCGTCGCGTTGTTCCCCAGAAAACCCTGCGCCGGAAGCAGAAGTGGAAAACATTTTCTCGTGGCGACGTGTTGGTCGTGAACGATACATATAGAATAGGACGAAAGTGTAGACGTACGAAACCGGCGACGAGCGCGATCAAAACGATCAGTGCCAGAATGTCGGTGCAGGATCGATCGGTGACGAAAATCTGCTCCGAGTGTCTCGTCGGCATGCCCTCGTTTTCCGGCGTCTGAAACCGTACAAACATGGAAAATCGTCGCGGCGAGAACGCACCAGCCGCTGTATCTGCGTGTCACCCTTCGCTTTTTCCCGCGATAAAGTCGCGCGGACCGAGTTTTTAACAGCCAAACTTCGCCGTTGCGTTCCACGCGAACGAATAAAAAAGGAAACGTTACGCGAGCCGTCATTTTTCGGCGGAAATTTATCGGTAACGAGCTGCGATATCATCGTAAAATTTGATCGAGCTATTTCTAACGCGGAGGAAAAGCTTTCGCGACGTTGTTTCGCGTTACAATTTTTTGTCAAGACTTTCTTTGTTAAGACGATTAGTCGTTTCACTCGTCCAGCTAATAACGATGTGTTCCCAAGAGCTTTATCAACTGCTGCTCTTTTTCGTTTCGTCGGCGGAAAATACAATGCAGTCCGTCAACGAGTGTACTGAATTTCAAGAATGTTTTCATTCATTAATATTCCCAGAATTTCGTTAGCTCGTTTTTATACTGTTTTTTCTGTATTACTTTTTTTTTTTTAATTGTTTTCGAGAAAATTCTTGCGTTTCTCGTTCGGGAACGATTTTTAAAGAAAAGTCGAACGATGGAAAGTTCCTATGCCGGGGCGCTATACCAAATTTATTGCGCAGCGAGACAAATTGCTCCTGCCTAACCTGTAAGGTTACATTCGGACATTTAGTCTCGCTAGATTTTTCGGTCTTCGTGAAATACGGTGTTTCTTTAATCCTTCTGTGAAACTATTTTTTGCGGGTAGATACGCGTAATTGATCGATATTAGAATAAATTGGTTGGTGATTCTTTTACTCACTTTCATTCTGCGGTACATGAGCATTTAATCTCCAACGACCGCTGCGCACTCTACTAAAGGTCATTGGAAACGATAGTGCCTGGGGAAGATTCGCCATTTTGTTGGAAAATATAGAAAACGCAATGGATTCGTTCAAATGCTGTATTTCAAATATATACTGACATCGTTTCCGCGTGAATTAAAAACTAGAGTTCAGCGTTAATCGACTGACTTTGATCGATTAATTAAAGTTTAAAACTCGTGTATATCGTGTATATATAATTGTCGTATGATGTATCGAATTGAAGAAGGTTAGAACAAACTAAAATATTAAATAAAAGTCTACTGTATCGATACAATATTCTACACATTGATTCATATTTGTTACATATGCTATACAGTGTGTTTTGACACGTAATAATGCAAACATATAACGCAGATATTGTAAATGTCATTCAGTTACGACGTTTAGAGATAAATGTAACCATTAACGATTCTCATGAATCATTAGTCGCTGGCTATCATCGCTGATTAAATTAATGATTATTCTTCCGTGATGTTGATTGAAATCGATGGAAAATATCCTTTTAACATATTCGAAAATTGTTAATATTCAAGAATATGTATCAGAAGATTTACTTTGAGCCTTGAAATGCGTGTAATAAAATCACAGAATTTTTTCCACTGCGAAATAGGCCAGAATGGGACGCGTTTCTGTCTATATAACGAATAATATTTTAACTGGAAACAAATGTATTCAAACAACGTTGATGAACGAATAAAAGACTTTGTTATTTTTCAATTTCACAATAAATCTATAGGAATAATTTTTGCATAGCGGAGTCTTTTAAGCGGGCAAAAAAAAAAAAATAAATTGTCGAAGTTTCCGAGTCGATAACACAGAATAATAACGTTTAATTTAATCAGAGAGACTGATGCAATGGTCAATCATTACGATCGAGGATTATCCGATTTAATTGTAATCGTCGATCGTTACTCTGATTAAAACTTGCTCGACACAGTCTTTAAACGCGTGGATAATTTTCCACATTTCCAACCAACCGGGATCGAATTAAACTTTTCTCTTTTAACGGGGAACCCAAGTATCGAGGTAGACTTTTCTTTGACGCGGGAGATGTGCAGAGATCGGAGGTAGAACGATTAAAAATTATTACTTTTACGAATTTATAAACACGCGGAAGGGAAAAATGATAAAATAAGGAAATTCTCGACAAGAAAAATTACAGAAATTTAAGATTAATTCGGTCGATTAGAAGTGTTCGTACCAACCGCGAAAATCTGTTATTTTTTAATCAAACGATTGAACGAAGATGGCGCTTTCAAGATGTTTAGATTCTACTCTAACACTCTAAGACAGTGTTTCTCAAGCTGTGATCTGTTAGAGAACAAACGACAAAGGGTAGCAATTAGTACATAATGGAATACACAGTCTTTGCCCTGTTTTGCTCGCGTTAAAAAATTCCAGTGAAAAGTTTTCCCCCATCATTATCCGAAACATCAAAAGAGAAACATCCGCCGGCGCGTTTTCGAGAAGCAGCGCCAGCCATCTCGTTACAATTACGTTTGGTATAGCTTTTATCCCGGTTCTATTAAAAGCAACAAAAGATACTTTATTAGATTTTATTAGATTTCTATGACCTTTTCTGAAAGCCACTTAATAAGAACTTGTAACGTTTAATCGTCCACGGGAAAAAAAAGAACCACGTTTGAAAAAGACTCGTACCCCGTCACCGATAATACCAGAAATACGAGATAACAAGGTTACGTTCAATAAAACTCTTTGAAATACAGTTCGTTCCGTTTAAAAAAAATTCTCATTTCAAATTCGCGGATAATTCGTTTATTTCATATTCCGCTATCCCGGTGATTCGTCGCGCGCGGCCGCGGTCTTTATACTTTTCAATAAACGGACGACTCGTTTCGAAATCGAAATTGCCGCGTGCTATTGGAAAGCTGAAACGCGCCGTATAATTAAAAAAACTCTTTATCGAAAATCAACGAACCTTTCACAGAGCCGCGCTCGAAACCTCCAGTCTCGCGTGTTAACGATTTAAAACTTTTCGTCCGTGCAACCGAATACGTTCCTCTGATTATTAAAAGAAAAAAATAAATAAAAATAAAAATATGTAATCGCGTTCGAAAGGGGAGGAGGCGACGGTCGATCGTCGACTTGACCCCCCCAAGTTATCGCGCAAACACGCGTGTTTCGCTGTTAAACGCGATCGAAAAAGCCCGAATATCTATCGTTTTGCGGTGCCCGGCGCCAGTAAATTTTCAGTCGGTGAAATCGGGCGGAGCTAATGCTTTTAGCGAATCTGCGCCGTTTCACCGACAGAGGGGAACTTGTAACCCTGTTACAAGTCAGACCGTGCACCAGCCACCAGCCCTAAATTAATTAGATTCTTTGACGGTGACCTTGCATTAGCGTCCCCGCCGTAATTAAATTCCACCCCCCTCCGCACGCGCCTTATTAAAATGCACGGCATTGTGTCGTATTGATAACATCATTATCGCCGACGAGTCCCTCTCGGGCTAATATCACGCGTTCGTCAAAGGTCAGAAGACAGCCGTATACCCCGCGAGGTATTCATAATAACTCGCCCATGTCGCGTTAAACGGTTTTGGATCGTCGCGGCCAAAGGTTTGGAGGCGGTTTAATATCGCGTATGTTAATTATATCGCAACAGTTTCGCGCGCTGCGCTCTCTCATTAAAACTTTTTTTTTTAAATTCTCCGTACACTTCCTCCGCTCGGTGTATTCGCTCGACTCTCGTACAGAGTCCCACCTCCCACGCAGGTCTCCGTTCTTAACAATATATTCGTTCCCGCACACGTGACCGCGTACACCAGCCAGTTTCCATTTAAACTGCTCTAATGTCTAGACGACACGGTTATATCTGTCGATAAAGTTGGTCGAAAACGTTGAGCGACGCGAGCAGTCGCGTCGAAAGAGAACAAAAAAAAAATCCTAAAAACTTTCGTTGAAACTGATTTAACTTTGTTCGATAAAAATATTGCGAGAATATTGTTCTAAAATACACGAAAAATTTTATATCCGGCAATGGCTCGATTCTGGAAAAATTGAACGTCCGTCTGTTTTTCTGCCTCCACGCGTTGTACGATCGAGTTCTTTTGTTATAAAATTCAATTAAAAACCGTGCTACCACCGTATTTCCCTACCCGGGGCAGGGAATATTGGCCGCTCAAGGTCACCGAATGGCCAACCCCGCGCCATATCGTTCGGTGACCTTCCTGGCTTCATCTATCGTATCTTCGTCGTAACTTATCATTCGGGGGACAGAAAATGCAAACCTCCGGGAGCTCTCTGTATCTCGGGCGGAGATCTCGAGATTGGTGCGGGGAACTTTGAACGACTAAAATCTCCAGAGTCTGGTGCAGTGAACCTGTTAGTAAAGCTCCTTACATTCTGGATAGAAAATATTGGCTGCATAGGGTGACTAGAGAGCTTATTCCACCATACGGTTTCGCTGCTCCATCTTTCATCTTCCTTCTTAAATTCACCGCTGGGCCCCAGTGACCTTTCGCACGCTGACTGCTGACGCTCACGAACTTTTAAATAACTTTTGAAATATTACAAAGCGACGTGGACACAATTTGCATTGGTCACTCAAGGTCACCACATCGTTTCGTACGAAGATTATTTTTAACGAGCGTCAGGAGGTGTTCCAAACTTGAAAGTTGGAGCAATTAAAAGCCAAGAAACCATTAGTGAGGTTTTTAATATTATTGGATCAACGCGTTCGTTCGATTCGTTTTGCCGCGGTAATTCGAGGGCGTGACGTAATTTACGGTCGGTGCGGTGACCTTGAGCGGCCAATATTTTCTGGCCGTAGCGCAGTCACGTGGACAGAGATCGGCTTATATGAGGAGACAGGGATGGGAAGCTAGATTCACCGGATAAACGACGGGTTAACGGAGTCTGCGACGCTCGTTGCGCGGTAATGAACTTCAGTATTAATTGGACGTTTTAGTTGGGTCGGTGACAGTTACAGTTGGCCCTTTAAACGAAGAGAGCGAACGTTATATGTTATTCTTGGGTTTTCGCCTCCGTTTCCATTCTGCTTTGAACGATTGCGTCTATTCTATGAATAAAATCGTGCATGCCAGTTTTGCAATTAACATTTCCGCCGTGGAGAGCATAGCAACCACGAATTCGGTACGGAACAGAGTCGATTCGCGTAAACGCCATTTCTTTTTTTTCAAAGGTGCACCGTTTGCTTTGGTTTCAGCAATTATTCGGTTCTTTGCGAACGAAGACCCTCGAAACAATTGAATTTACGTTGAACGCTTGCTTCTCACGCTGGCAAAGTTATTGAAAATTATAAAGAGTGATCGTGGAAAGTGGGACGAGTCTCTTTTCCGAGCGAAGGTGCAAAAAATTCATAGCGGAACGGGGTGAATCCCCTATGCGGGGACCATCTTTCGATGACATAATTTCTTTGTTTGGCGCAACGGCGCAATATGCGCAGTGTTAAGGCGTGCTTCGCGAGATATTGTATCGAAAAGAAATTCTAGTTCACACAAACCGTTGGGTTTAATATTATACTTTCTATACGAATGTCAAGAAGAAAAAAATATTTATCTATTTATCAGTATATTATGGTCCGAGCGATATATCATATAAAATAGAATGTTGATAAAACTTATTAGCGAAGCACTTAATCGTTATCAATCGAGATACGTATTTATGATATCTATGTTTCTAAGAAGAATTTGTTGAAAGATAAAGTGGTAACACGTTGTTTCAACAATATTTTCTACGAACGATTCGCATCTATAACAGACTGTACATTTTATAAAGTTCGATGATTACAAAAACATACGATAAATCAGCAGTTTTATCGAGTCTCCGTCGGATACGAATGTAACGAGTGAAAGTTAACGGGCAGAAGTTTGCGCGAAGAACTGAAAAAACTTTAGTAGAAGTACATCGTAGAATCTTTTACGCGTATAATGTTAATCCGTAACAACATCCATTTACATTTTCCAAACGGGAATAACAGTTTCGCTAACGATCAACCTGGAATTTTCCCTTTCGAAGCGCCATCTTCCTAATATTTTTGCATCAAAGTTACGAAACTTAATAACAGAAGTTGGCGGGGAAGAATTTTAATTTAGAAACTCGCACGGGCACATACACTCGGTTGCATAATTTTCGCGGGGCCGCGGAGCTAACGTGCGTAGTTTTATCTGTTCCTTTAACGCGCAGGAATTATAAAAATTCTGTTTCGGTCGACTTTCCCGCGACGACTGCGCCTTCTTTCAGCTTCGAATAAAGAAACTTTTAATAAAAACTGAAACGCCGCGTACCGATGACAATGCATTTGTACACAGAACTTTAGACCGGGTACCTCGCCCCGTCATATCTCATTATTTTTTATAATAGCACGAGAGTAAAAATTTTATTTCCCTTCCCCTTAAAAGCGCATCCTGCTTTATCTCAAACGGAAAAAGTCAAGTTTAACGATCAAACTTCGCATAAAAAGTTTCAAATGGGATATTACGGGCACCAAAGTCTGTATACATCCACCGTGACCCAGAAGTTAACAGTCCAAGCCACGATTACCATTCGTCCGCCGCCGCATTTTTGTTTTATAATTTCTCGATTCATTTTACATCACTCGTCCATCGTTCGAAATTAAATATCGTTCCTTCTTGTCAATCACTTTTTACCAAGTTTTCCAATTCCAAATCTTTGTCCGCCGTTTGTAATACTTTCTCGATTAATAAACAAAAGACAAAAGAGTGAAATCGCGGTACATTGGAGGATTATTGTTATTTTATAAAAAGGTGAAAATTGCGATCGGGGTAGTTAGAGGGGGATGGAACGAGGCATCAAACTGCACGTTCCGCGTCCCCGTTTCCTCGCTAGGTTCCTTGTACCCTCGCAGTTCACTTCACCGTGACAAGAGCAAAGCTCGAAGTTTTTTATTAAAATACTTGAGCGGAAATTTCAGCCGGCGGAATCATAAAAAATAACTCTTACCCTGGGCTCCACCTTGGACGAAGGCTCGTCCGAGCAGCCGCAGCAACCCATGCCCGAGGAAGTGGAAGGTAATCCTTGGAAACAGCCGGGAAAACTTTTCCTTCTGATCCTGGTCCCTCCTCCGGGGTCCCCGCTGTCACGGATGCACCGGCTTCCGGGAATAAATTAAAACGGAAGTTCTTTAGAGCGAACGGGAAAATACACAACCAGCCGGGCAACGGTGTCGCCAAGGGTGGGGAAAAATGGCGACGGGGGTTGACGCGGTTTTCGTATCGCGAGAAGTGGCCGTGGCGACGTTTTCCGGACGCTTCGACGACACTGGTGAGCGAACGACCACGCGGAGGCGTCGAGGAATGAGAGATCGCGACGCGGGGCGTCGCGTTTATAAAAATAGAGAAACCGCGGTGATAAGAACGACGAACGGCTAAACCGATTCTCGCGATACACGGAATTAAGCGCGCTTCCGATAACACCGGAATCGTTCATTCGGTCGCGCTATTCGAGTCTTTTCTCTGTTTTCCATCGCTGATACGATTAATCGGCCGCCGCACAGTGGGGCCATTGCATGCCAAACGCGGCAAAAAGTGGTTTTATACAAATATACCCACAATGAAATAATGATTCACTAATAGTTAATGGGACACATGGGTCATGATTTAGTGTGATTTTTTTTATCATTTATCGATTTTTGATACGACTACATGATTTTGAAACGTTCAATCTTAAAATCATCTAAAATTATAATCATCGTTTATTGTTGCTTTGATTCTTCAAAGTAAATGATGAGTAATTGAATTAAATGTACTTAGTACGTATTTAAATTACACCAAAGTACACTTTTATATCTCCAACATTTTTTGAGTTATAACTAATTGAACATGTTCAGTTGATCATCTTTATATTTTTCGCAGGAGCAGCTAGTAGCAGCTAATTTTTTTTTTAAAAAAAAGGTAAGGCTTCACTCTACAAAAAGCAACTAAAATGAACACTAAATCACACTGCATTCATAATTAAAAAATAAAATTAAATTAACATACAATAGCTAGCTCATACAAAAATGGCCCTCGAAATGGCGTCGGTGTTGGGTAAATTTTATGTACGAGTATCGGATAAAAATTCGTAGATTTATTTGTGAATGAATGAAAAATTCACGAACGAGTCTAAAATTGTTGTTCGTTTTAATTATGGAGGGAGGGATCGATGAACTCTCTTGGTCCTCGGAATGGCGTCAGAGTTGGGTAAATTTTATTTACGTGTGTCGGATAAAAATTCGTAGATTTATTCGTGAATTGACGAACGAATTTGAAATGTTTATTTGTTATTCGCGAATAAAATTTGCCTGGCTCCGGCGTGACGGCTTGTGGTTCTTTCTAGGGTTAATCCTAAGCGCGCATGGCAAGTATTAACGCGCTGCGGGGCACACACGGTGCTTAGCAGGAAGAAAGGATTTTCATCTCTGCAGGATGTAGCTTCTCTAATTAGATATTATAAAGGGTAGAGTACTGACCTGGAAGTGAAAAAGAATCCTTTACGCCGGATTGTAAAAAATGTGAATATCGGAACAATAAGAATGCCAAATGAAAGCTCAGTAATGGAAAACAATAGCTAACTTTTATTCTATTTTCGATTCTGTTCTTACGCTTCTCTTGAAAGAAAGAACCATAGGACACTTTTATAGGAATGACATTTTTAAAAACTGTTCTCGAAACACTGGTCGTTATAAGAAAAATCCTGCGCGAATAAACAACAAATATGTTCATAAATTAATACCTTTTTCTCAATTTTAATTTTAAATCCACGAATAAATGAAAAATCCTCCATTCTCGCCATTATTTTGAATAAAAAATGTTCATACTCCGCAAATAATGTATTTTCATGAGCATAAAATTTATGAATATGTACATAGTTCCACGACAATAAATTTTTGAAGAACCACGAATATTTACGTCTTCCAGCCAAATATAATCTCTTAAATTTTTCTTAAAGCCCAATACGACGGGATTTGAGAATATAGTAAAATAAAATTCCAAATAAAAGCACCGTGTCGTCCCGTATAAAATATTTATTGCAAATGACAGGCCAGTTCCTAAGTTCATACGTATTTATGTTTATATTATTTCGAGACTTTTATTTTATCGTTTAATTAGTCCATTACGTGCAGGATGTTTTTAACGGTGGTTCTTCTAAAATAACTCGCGGGAAATGGATATTAATAATCGGTATAAACAACGCGTTCTCCACTTTCCTGTTTCTGAGTGGAGAAAGTGCTAGCTGAGTTAAAGTGGAAGGTCGTGCCTCACTGTTCTTACTCCCTTGCTCCAAGCGATTACCATCTTTCCTGGAGTCTGCAGAAAATTTTTAAGAAACTTTTAGGAGCGAAAAAATTTCGAAACGAAAATGTAGTCCGAAAATGCAGTGTCGTAATATCGCGCCTTGAAACCAGAATATACTCCGCGGCGATGAAGTTATGGAATTAACTTCAAGATGGAAGAGCATCGTAATAACGAACGTATCGATGATTAAAAATAAATAGCCTCTTCTTAGACCGATGCTCCAAAGTAAAATTAGACATTTTTCTCCTTTAAATATTGAAAGCTAACGTGGAACAATGTATGTCTGAATAAGATTGCGAGACAATCTTTATATCATAGCTCCGAGTGATACATTGAATCTATAGCACGGAGCAGGAGAGAATGTCCCTGGATGGAAATCACATTTACTGATCTGAATATTTGAAAAAGGTTCCCTATTGAAATCATATATTTTCAAATAATAATATAGAAGAATTTCCACTATTTAACAGTGCAGAGTTTCATACAGTGATACATTGAATCTATAGCAGAGAGCAGGAGAGAATGTCCCTGGATGGAATTCACAAATCATATATTTTCAAGTAAAAATATGAGAATTGACGAAGTTCTTCGACAGTACAGAGTGTTATAAAGTCTGCTGGATATTAACGAAAATAGTAACCTAGAGAGGTCTGGTTTCGTTGTAGATTTCTCGAGCGTCGCGATTATCGCGTATTTTATGGTTTCTCGAAGTGCAGATCCGATCATCCCGTAAGCAATGTCTCTTACTTCACGTGGACGCCATGTTTGTGCCACCACTCGCGAGGAAACTTTTCGAAACTTGGCGCGGAAATCAATACGGAACGCCGTGATAATTAAAATTGGAACGTTGTCGAGGATCCTCGCGTTTGGAATTCAACGCGACAAAAGGAATGTTCTTTTTCCCTTTTCTTTTCGCGCTTTCCGCCCGACGTCATTTAATATTTCCCGAGACATCCTCGTCTCTCGGCGCTGGTTACGTCAGTTGCGATCGATTAATCGAATAAGCCTGCACGCCACGGCGAAATGACTGGTACGTAATGTCTCGGGGGTTGTTGCCATTCCGCTTTTAGCAAGTCGAATAGCATCGGACAGTTATTTTCGTCGAGTTACTCGTCGAACAGAAACTCTGTTGAAACTTTGTCCCTCGATTAATTATCGGGATTGCGGTTACGAAACAACGGCGCTGATAATTGGAACGAAGGATTGGTTCTTTGTCAGCCTTGGACACGAAGCACTAATGCAACAACCGAATTATTTGCATCGAATATAAACTCGTTACTCCCGAATCGATAACAAATTCCTGGCCTTTTGCTTTTCTCTCTGTAAAAAAAGATTCCGAGAAGCCCCGATCATCAATAAAAGATTTGTTCGCCGGGTTCGACGAAACTCTATCGTCGTTGTCGGATGAAATTTTAAGAATCGACCCACAATTTATTCAAATTTTCCAATTTGTTTTGAAGCTCCGAACCCGGGGACGAGGGCTGTGAAAATTCTGAACGCGTAGTCTCTTAATTTTTAATTTATTCATTAAAGGAACAATGACCCTTTGATGTTTGCGCTCTTCGTTATGAATATTGCAACACTAGACTGATCAAACTTCTCGGTTATTCCCCGCGCTTCTTTCCTTGCCAACAATTTGTACACCGTTAATTTCTACTCTGCTTCGACGATTATTGTACTCGATCGAAATTACATCGCGTCTTTGTGCATTTCCCTCGACGAGAACGATTACCTAACGCGTCGCGAGGTGTTTTTCATTGGCTCGAGAGCGTACGGGACAAGAGTGCTCGATTTTACAGCTGATTAAGAATAAACTTATAATTTCTTTTGTAGGCAGGAACAAGCTGTTGGCAGAAATTCTGCACGAGAATACTTAACGACCTGGAGTTTGAAATTCTGCTTCGTTCGCCGTGCACTCAATTTTCACCCTTTCACAGAGTATCACTTTTCTGGTATTTAAACACTTTTGTAAAAGGGACCGCGATTCCGAGGCAATCGCAAAAGAGAAGTTCGCGGGATTTTAAATGCAAGGCGTAGGATCGATTCAGCTGTTTCAAGATGAATGGCCGTGGCCCGTGAAAGAGAAAATCAGTTGACAAGAAAGGACAGACCCACAGAAGTTAATTGGAAATTAAGTTGTATTGGAACTTGTTGCCTTTCTACTAATGGTAACTTTAAATAGAACCATCGAGTTCGCAATTATTCAGCCTGTATATAAACGTTTCTTGACGAGCAATTCCAATTAATGCACTGATATTTGCAAAAATAATTACAGCCATTAAACGTTGCATTATATCTCTGTTTCGACCCTGCGCGATTCAGGAAAAATCGAATACATTTTAATCCATTTAACTGTTTCGGTTTGATTAAAAAGTAGTATTATTTTTGAAATTCTATCCTTTCGTAATATTTAGGATTATTTGCAACGGAGTGCACGGTAAAATTAAATTGCTCCAATTTAGCTGATTAAGTGTTTATTAGTCGAATACAAAATTTTTACAGGTTCTCTCCTGTACACGTAAATTGTCAAAGAAATATTACGTTAAATCCAAAATATCGATGTTAAAAAAATGGGTCAAGCGTGAAGGATCGATATTCGAGAAAACATCCACTGGGTTAAACTTACATCCTGGAACTATTGTTTACTATTTACAAATCGTACCACTATCGTTTACTGTTTGCGTATCATACAAATAAAATCGCTCTTGCTTGTTGTTTGCACATCGTGCAAATAAAACTGCCCCATTTCACATGTAAATAGAAAATAATA